GCTCGTGAATATGCTTCCGAAAAGCCAATTTTCCAAAAGGTCAATCTCCGTGCCTAAAAATAAAATGAAAAAAAGACCACGCTGTGCAAAGAAAACACTCTTTATCTACAAACTATTAAATTCTGGAACAAATTGCTTTAACGGTAAACTCTCCCCATTTGTAATACCAAACCATGTATGACCAAAAACAGCAATATTCGCAGGTACTCACCGATCTCGCTTTTTACTTTAGAAATATATATCATATACGGGTCATTCCATGTCAAATGTTCCAGACGTTGCGCTCGACCCCTTCCGATTTCTAAAAAGAAAAAAAAAATTACAGCCTTTTGCCGCAATATTCGTAGCCATGCCCTGAAATATTTCTGGCGAAAAAAAAAATTGTTGATGACGTGAGCGCGGTTTTAACTTTTAGAAACAGCGTGAAACTAGGCATCACTCAATAATTGATGAAAAATCAGCTTTTTAGTGAAACACCCAACAATATGTTTCTTAAATTTGCACGGCTTCTAACTTACAATGTGGTTGGGCTTGTGACGTTTTGTTTTATTTAAACAGTTAAAAAATCTATAAAATTTTGAAAATTTTAGCATTTTTGTTATTTTATTAGAAGATATCTAATTGCTCCCGGGACTTAATAGAACTTTTTATCGGCTGCCCTCCAGGTATATAGTCTATAAAAAATGTTTAAAACCGTTCATTTCAATATCTCGCAGTAAACAGAAATCCTGAAGTTGCAAAAAGTGCGTTTTGACGCATAAACAGACGTTTATCGACCTTGAGGTGGTCAAAGTAAAAATACAAAATATGGTGGGTCTGGAAGAACAATGGATAATCTTTTGACTCTGGAAGTTTAATCAAAGTTATTTTTGTTTAAAGCGAGAAAACAATTTTTGAAATTGAACTCTCGCACCACAACCCGGCGTCGCTTCTTAACGCCTCTTCGCCGCACAGCACGCCCCCTGCGACGATAGCTGATGCGATTACGTCCAAAGAAAGAACGGAGTTTTCTGCCGCTTTCTCTTGTCCGTCTTTCCGGCTGCAAGGGAAGAAACGGCGTGTATCGTGTAATAATCGGAGGTGCCGCCAGCGCGTAGCATTAGCAGGCTTGTGGTGCCCTTTGTACCCGAGGGTGGCTCGAAACGCGATGCCTAAGCGACGGGCGGCATCAAGTGACCAGCACTTCTCCATGCCATGCTAAAGGTCCCACGGCCACCTCCGACTCCTAAAATAAAATTGATGGCTTTTCACTGTAATCTTTGTGGTGCCTCACTGACATATTTTTTGACGAAAAACAAATTTCATGAGGTGATGGCGGTTTGAACTAGCAAAAGGGAGGTGGAACTACGAGTCATTCAATAATTGATGAAAAGTAAGATTTTTTACAGAACACTGGAATATTTTTGCCTAAAAAACCTACGGTATTTGGATTGCTATGTAATAAGGATGATGGTCATGGAATTTGGTATGCTCAAGGCAGTTTTAAAAATAAGGAATATATGATTAGTGTCGTGATGTAGGCGAGTTGGTTCATGGTAACGGAAATAAACAGCGCGCAAAAAATACACAGGACGAAAGGAAGGTGTGAACGACACAAGCGCTGAACTCACAACTAAACATTTATTGAAAAAACACCAACGAAATAAACCGCACTATCGCTTCAGCACGTGTCAAGATAGGCAATTTCTTTTTTGTGAAGAAAAACCGATGTTTGGCTGACGCATGCATCTTGCCCCTCTTTTGTTATTGCATACGCTTCCAATAATTCCCTGATAGTTTTATCTGTGCCCCTCCCGATGATGGTGATGTTATTGAATTGGGGCTGGCATTTACAGGCAGCACAATGCAGAGGCAAGTGACCCCCAGCGGTCGACCGGAGTGTCCAGTTATGCTATATGAGCACTTTAGCATATTTTTAGTTTTGTTACAAACTATGGCTTTGTTGCATGCGACTGTAAATACCCTTATTGACAGCCCTGTAGGTATACTGTACACAAAAAAGGTTTCAGGCTGTACAACTAAATATCTTTCAGAAAAAAAAAACTAAATTTTTGCAAAATTGCATTTTGCCGTTTAAAGAGCCGTCAATTCTGCCTTGAGGTGGCCCAAAGAAAAAAATACGTAACATGGTGACTTCTACAAAAGAGTTTATTTCCTTTTGTTCTTGAAAGTTTAATTAGAGTAATATTGTTCTAAAGAGGAAAAAAACATTTTGAAGTTGAGCTTTCGCGCCGCAACATGGCGTCGTTCCTTGCTCCTCTTCTCTGCACAGCACGCCAACGTCGAGCCCGGCAAAGCGTGTGACGTTGTCAATGTGTGCTCACGCAGGTAGAAAGCAGGACCTCGAGTAGTCGGGTACATCTTGGTGGGAAAAGGCTTTTTCCTACTCTTGTTGCATTATGGCTTTTCCTATTTTGACCGTTTTGCGCGGCTGTGTCCTCCTGTGGACTTCCACTTTCTTGATATCAGCAGATGCTTAGCGCTGCCAGGTAAGAGCATACACTAGTAAGCTAGCTGTTTCTTATGTACACCATCACAAACATTCTCTCTTCCCGACGTCAGGAAAGATGTAGACAGGAACACAAAATCCCTGTGAACGGGCAATCTCATACGACGAGGCGATGTGGTGTTAAAGGGCAACTCCGCTCAATTCCGAAGATTTCGGGGTAATGAGTAATTTCGAATTAAAAAGCCCTAGTAAAAGACACTACGTCGTTTGCTTCGCGAAAAATGGGATGTATATTTTTAAATCTAATTTTAAACACGAGCGGAAATCTAAACCGAAACTTCGGCTCCGTCCGGCAACATTGGTCTCGGGCCGCCAAGTACATGGCCATCACGTGGTACGAGATGTCACGTGATCCTCGGCCCAACGATGGGCGGGATGGGGGCGGGCGTGCGGCAGGCGTGAGTGTCGTCTGCACCGCACTCTTCGCCACGTTTTGGTGTCTACGGCATTCGACGACGTCTGCACAACGGCGGCATAAGTCTGCGACTCTGCGCACCTAGTGTCCATAGTGTGGACGAAACTCCGAGAGGCAATAATCACAAACGGTGAGACGACGACGGTGGTTGTGACGCAGAAGACGGCGGTAACGGCGGGACCACGGCGGGCGGTTGGTCTGCTCCCAAGAAGCGCGCTGCGCAGGCGCGTGCGCCAATCACGTGGACACCGCTGAGCGCCGAGAGGGAACGTTGCTGACGTCATGCGCTACGCTCGATCGGAGAAGTAAAAACAAGCAAAAGGGGGCCATGGTGATGACGTTTAGCTCAATGTTGGCTCCGCCCATGCCGTAGCCTTGACTGCGCTGTTGGTTGCGCCTGAATTCGCCCGCTCGAGTCAGCCGATTTCGGCAACTTGGCGAGTTGCAAAGTTTGCAGGACCGTTTAAAAAACATTTAGACAGAACTGCGTCGTAATTTTTGACGTGTGGTCTTCCTAGGCAATACTGAAGAGGACTGCATTGTTTTTTCAAAACCAAAAATGAAGCGGAGTTGCCCTTTAACGAATGCGCGCAGTTAGGAGGCTCACGCCTCGTTTGTGTTTAAATCAGCTTTGAAACGGCAAATTCTTGCGTCGCTGAATAGTTCCGCTTTTCACCGCAGTATGCGAGACAGCTAGATTTCGCGGCAATATTATCGCGTTTCCCTTTTAGGAGAAGTCCACGTCACGTATTAGGCATCGCGTTTCGAGCCGCCCTCGGGTACAAAGGGCACAACGGGCCTGCTATGGCGACGCACTGGCGGCACCTCCGATTATTACACGATACCCACCGTTTCTTCCCTTGCAGACGGAAAGACGGAGAAGGGGAAGCGGCAGAAAACTCAGTTCTTTCTTTGGCCCTAATCGTGTCAGCTATCGAGACGCAGCTGGCGTGCTGTGCGGCGAAGAGGCGTTAAGAAGCCACGCCAGATTGTGGTGCGAGAGTTCAACTTCAAAAACTGTTTTCTCGCTTTAAACAAAAATTGCTTTGATCAAACTTTCAGAATCAAAAGATTGTCGATTGTTCTTTCAAACCCATCATATTTTGTATTTTTACTTGGACCACCTCAGGGTGAAATAAGCGGCTTTTTATGCGTCAAAGCGCACTTTTTTGCAACTCCAGGATTTTTGTTTACTGTGAGATATCTAATTGACCGGTTTTAAACATTTTTTTACAGATTATATACCTGCAGGACAGTCAGCAAAAAGTTATATTAAGTCCCGGGAAGAATTAAATATTTTGATAAAATAACAAAAAAGTTAAAATTTTTAAAGTGTCTTAGTTTTTTAAAAAATATTTAAATTAAACAAAACTTTACAAGCCCAACCACATTGTAAGTCGAAATCCGTGCATATTTAAAAAATACATATTGTTGGGTGTTTCACTAAAAAGCAGATTTTTCATCAATTATTGAGTGATGCCTAGTTTCACGCTGTTTTTAAAAGTTAAAGCCGCGCTCACGTCATCAAAAATTATTTTTCGACAAAAATATTTCAGGGCATGGCTACGTACATTGCGGCGAAAGGCCATGAACTGTTTTTTTTAGAAATCGGAAGGGGCCGAGCGCAACGTCTGGGACGTTTGACATGGAATGACCCGGCCACACCCAAAGGAGGCCCATTGTCTATTCTATAACGCGACTTAAATATTTTTAGGTAGTGACTAAGCGTCAGAATCGCGCCTAAAACAAGGGCACATGTTGTCATTTTTCATGGCCGCCGTGGGACCGGCGGCCATGAAACACAAACAATATATTATTTGCCTAGGAAACGAGGATACACGACCATAAAAGGTCAATCGGAACTCTTTTTTACTTTATAATTTTAGAGTTGTTTACGTACTGGAATGGCCAAGTGCGAGTTCGTGAATCAAAATTAATCAGCCTCTTCTCACGTTGCAGGAATAATGATGAACAGAAATCACCAACTCCAGGAAGAGAACGAGTGGGTGAGGAAGGCGAACTTTGTTATCGACTTCCTAGCATCCGAGCACTCGAATGGGACGACAGCGCCGATAGTCGAGCCGCTGTGGATGCCCGCCACCTGGAACGACGAACAGAGTAAGTGTCGCCTCTATCACCCGTGCTGTTGTAAGGATAATAAATGGGGAAGGTAACAATGAGCTCCCAAACCAACACTTGTGTTGGACGGGGCGGTGCAAGAATGTTTGTACTCTCACCAATTACCGCATACAAAAGACCAATCTCACTGAGCGTTCCACGCATGCGTGACGCCGCCATAATTTTAATTCACAGTAGGAGGTAGGCGGCAGCGCACGAGACGGCCCGTGTCGTCTCGTACTTTGCACGCGCAAAGCTCAAAGCTTCGTGTTTTTTTTTGTTTGTTTTTTTTTTGCGCTGTTCGTGTGTGGCGGCAGTGTTCGTTGTGAATAGACCCTTCCCGAAATTCAGTGCCATCTGGTGGCTATAATGGCAGTTTAACTTTTGCCGTACTAATGGCGGCCATGAAAATGGAGTCTGCCGTATTTTATCGGGCGCCGTCACTTTCGCAAGTTAACGGCAAACGACAGTGTGCGCTTCACTGTATATTTCCTTCTCAATCTCTTTCAGTGACGATAGAAACAAAGATGCAGCCAGTCAGAACGAAGCGTCAACTCACGTACACGGCTTGATAAAGTTGTACAAATCAAGGGGCTTTAAATCACCTTGATGCTACCAACAGACTGGCTGGGCCCGAGCTAGAAATGAACGCTTACGCGGATCTTCCTTTCAACTCTTGCTTCGCATCGTGCTAACGTCACGAATGAACAAGCCTCCAATTATCTTCTAAGGAGTATGTTCAACTTATTCCTTCATCAGTAAACAGAAAGCCGCCATTAGTACGGCACATGTGCCATTTTTCCGATGATGATGGTGGTCAAAGTGGCCAGACTGAATTTCGGAAAGGGTCTATCAACCCCTGTATAAAACTTGATTCACATGGTGCGATTTTACTTGCGATTTCTCAGCTGCGATGTTCCTCGTGCGGCAAAAAAAGCCTGGGGTAAGCTGCGGCGCGGTGCCCGACGTCGCAGCTGCGAATTCGCGAGCAAAATCGTACCATGTGAATCTGGCTTAAAGGGGGTATTCACTCAACAACTGGAAACGATGTTTCACGGGCAGAGAAATCGCATTTCTACCAACATGAATGCGGTCGTCGCAGTTTGCTGCAGGAGTTGTGTACGGTTATCAAAGCCGTGGTGCGTTCAAAAACAAACAAATGGTGGATATTACTTGCGTAAATAAGTAACTATGTCGAACCCAGTTATACATAGTCGACGGAAGAAAAAAATATACCGGCCGGTTGTTGTACTTTATGGCTCTGGCGAATCCACAGAGCGACATCGATGACGTGGAACACTCGGTGTTCCCAAGTTATCACTTTCTGAACGATGGTGTGCGTTATTTTTACGGTTAGCCTTATATGTTAAGAGCTCGCGAATTTTACATCGACATGAGGACTATAAAATGCGCATTCGAAATTGAATCGCGCTTTGAGCTCGATCCAACTGTCCGATGTTCAATATTATCGAAGTAAATAGCACAAACGCAGTTTTTCTTTTTGAAAAAGGATGAACAGCCTGAGGTAGTGACAAACATGTCTTTTAACAGTGACGTATGGAATCGGGATCGGTTAGGTAAGAAAAAAAAAAAAAGATAGAGCTGTCAAGCATATGCTTTGTGGATACAAGCCCGACTGCCGACTAAAAACTTTCCGGCCTACCTAGCATCGGTCGTTCTGTTATATTCATTTGTATGCTAACATTTTAAACTGTTATATAGGGTGCTTCCTTTCCGTCATATTTCAAGCCTGTCCAGCCCTTCCCTGAGAGCCTAATCGCACTCGGGGACGGGGCAACGGTACATTGCAGACGAGGGTTACGTTGGTCACTGTACGATAAGAGCTAGTTTCAGACCAGGGTTCCAACATGACTATCCAGAGGTCGATTGGTTGCACCCTAATCCCTGAATCTGTCTTATTAAACTCTTTCATGTGAAGCAGAATGTCGACCTACGACCGTACACATGACATCGTCTCGCCATTATACCACTGGCACGCGAAACTCATAGAGACGTCGACGACGATTCCAGACTTCGTTCGCAATGCTCAACACTGCCATGGTGATGTTGGTGACTCACTGAAATACAAAACCACGTTTATCGTCTAATATGGCACTCGGTAAAAAAAAACAGACCCAAACGTAGCGAAGAAGACACGCAGGCACCCGTCAGGAAGACCTGCCTGACCTGGACGCAAAGTCGCGGAGATGGCCATTTTAGCCCAGTGTGCTTAGCGCTGCTGGCACTGGTATGGAGCTTTGCTGTTTCTGACGGACTCGTTTGCTCCTTTGTCGAAATTAGCAGTAAAAGCATCACTGCAACCGAGGTGTCCTGCGTGTTTGAACTGGTGCACTGAATCACTGACCGGCTTCATTGCTGATGACGCTTAGTCAGCTTAATTACGTTTTGTATTGCTGTTTTTTAAACGTGTGCGACGTGCCCGAAAAACGAAACTGGAAGAAGATGAGGCGGGCGGGAGGTCATTTCCTCCCATTTGCCTGGAGAATGAAAAACACATCTCGTTGTTCTTTTCTTCTTGTATCTGCACGGGGGTGCGTCAGTTGAAGGGAAAAGAACAAGCCGTTCTTACGGTTTTCTCCTTTTTCTTTTCCTTTTTTTTAGAGTGTAGTGCAGTAAGCCTGTGTAAAATAAGAAATGTGTCAACTCAATATCAATGCCTGCTCTCTTTAAAAGTCTGGATAGGACAGGTATGTCAAAAAATAAACACTACCCGCAAGAAAAAAAGTAGCAGCACCTTGACGTCGCGAGACTTATATTTAAATGGGCTTGTCCACTTCTGATGCCGAAAAAGAAAAGCGTGTTTTAGAACCACTCAAATGAGTCTCGCTCCGTAGATATTTCACTAAAATTACTTTTTTTCGGGAAAGTGAGTTTCGTGACATACTTTTCCTATACATGGGCACACAAAAAAGTACATGCGAATTCTGTGTTTCTTTAAGAATGAAATAAAGCTAGTACAAGCAAATTTACAGAAAAATAAAATTAATAGGAAAGTCCCGTGCGAGAAGACCTCTGTGTGTTTGTGTTGTCTACTGTTTTTTTGTTTGTTTGTTTTTTTCCTAGACTCGGGTGTTTGACATGTTCAAAGTTCGCCAGCTCGCCCCTATCTTCTCAGCTATTTCAATACCAAAAGCAAGTTTGCGGTCAACTTTTAATGCAAGATTTCAATTGGAGGATTCGTAAATGAGTAAACTAAGTGCAACTTCACGGCGAGTGACAAACCAGCTTCTGAAGATGTTCTGTTTCTTCCGAAGGTACTGAGTGCCTTCGTCGCACGAAGGAGTGGTGCCGACATTTTTAGCCAAATTTAGAGGTCTTACGTTCCAAACTAACGTAGAGCGTCCGGCACCCCCTGCTGCAGACTGAGGATTCATTGACCACCTGTGGATCTTTTGACGTGCAACCGAAATGTCGGTTAGGCGGCCCTTCCTCCGCAATGAGCCTCATCATATATTGCGGGCACCTCAACCGGAAGTCGAAAGCGCCTCCTGGGGATAGGTTGCGACACTTTGCCTCGGAGCCACCGAGGCGGCTGTGCCGACATTTTAGACATTCGAAAGAATCATTTGTGTTCATGTTTTTAACATTCCTTTGGGCGCTTTATTGCTACTCGTTGTAGAGCAATGAAATTACAATAGTGGCCAACATATTAGGGCGTTGTTCTTGGTTGATTTTGGTATTGCAGATTTCGCGCATATCAATTTTTACTTTGGTGAAATTAAAAAGCCCCCGCACTTTTTTTTTTTCTTTTTTTGTGGACTTAGGTGTGCCTCAGGGATAAAAGTATGTTGTTGCGCGTTTCAGTTAAGTATGTTTGCGACTGAATTTCTAAATTTATAAGGACGATTAAAGAAGCCAGTTTTGTGAGGCTCACCTAGAACCACTCGAACCAGAAACATTATTGTCGTGTGAACTGACATTTATCGTACATCGCTGCAAGAAACAGGCGGAAACTAGGCGGAAAAACGTACTTATAAGTTTCACTTTACAAGCCGTTGTCACGTAGACGTGTGTATGCCAGGTTGCCTTCATTATAACTATAATAAAACAGAACGAAGAAAGGTGGACTCAAAATTGGTTATTCGTTAACCAGGGAGGGGGCATAGTCGTCGTTTTTCAGGAAGTGGGAGAGGAAGAATGCTTAGAATGGGGGAGAAGGCGATGATGGGAATGTGCGTACAGGTATCCCTGATATAGAGGAAGGTCGAGAAGTCGTCTCCCTCCACCGACCCACTGGAGATCTCCGGAAGGGTTCAGAATTTCAATTTGTGCAGCCGAGGCACCACCGAAGTATACGAGCGGACATGACCCTGCCTGGGGGACCGTTGAAGACTACCACAGCAGCAAACTCTCATAGACGATTCTCTTGTGTAATTTTATACATTGCGATGTTGCAGTGCATGAGGATGCGCTGTTTATGACTTCAAATATATGCTTAAATTATATGTAAGCCTGTATATAAAATACTATATAAAATAAAACCACTATATAAATAATATATCAAATAAAGCCGGTGGTCTCTTTTTCATCACTTCAGTTACAGTCTACTAGAATACTTCGGCTTCAGTCTCGGAAAGCCTCTATGATGAAATGTATATACACAAGCGAAACCAAGTAAACAACGCTGTGAAAAGAAGAAATATAAGATGGAATAGTGACTGCACGAAAATAGAATTTAAAAAAAAAGAAGATGACGACAACGGGTGGAAGGACAAGGTGGAGGCAAGTGCAGACCTTCTTCGAGCCGTTATCAAACTTGGGGACACTCTGCGGTATTCCGAGGCCCGAGGGCGATTCGTAATTGACGAACCCTTGGCACCTCAGAACAGAAGACGGCTGCCACAAGGAAGAAGGAAGCTGCGTGCTCTACGACCACCGACTGCACATCCCTGTCATCGATGACCATGCCATACGCTAACTGATGAAGTGCCTTTCTCTGCCATACTCCGCTTGTACGCCAACTATGACTGTGATTTTAT